GTTTCCCCTTTCCGAGCGCGGCGCCTTAACCCTTTGCTGCCCGCAGCCTCCCGGCTCCCCGTGCCGTCCGCGGGGTGAGAGTCGGGGTCGCGGCGGGCTCGCTCCGTGTTCCGGGGGGCGCGAGCCGGCCCCCCCCCGCCCCCCGCGGCCCCGAGAAGTCCACGCGCTCGGTCGCGGGAAGTTTCAAGTTGTTTCACTCCCCTCCCCGCGGCGGGGACCCGAGCCCCCTCCGCGCAGAGGCTGCGGGATGACCGGGGTACCCCCGGGGGCGGTCAGGAAGTGGAAAAGTGGTTCACGGAGGCCCTGACGCTGGAGCCTCGGAGGAGGCTGCGCGGGCTCCAGGCCTGAGCCGGCTCCTCCTGCCCTCGCAGCCTCAAAGTGGAGTACGACAAGCTGGCGAACGAGAAGACGGAGATGCAGCGCCATTACGTGATGGTGAGAGGCGGCCGCGGGCGGGGGCGGGGGCGGCCCGGGGGCGGGGGTCAGGGGACCCTGCAGCCCGGGTCCCAGGACGCCGCGGCCAGCCAGCCGCAGGGCAGCCCTGGGAGCCGATGTCAGCCGAGTGTGCCCCGACCTTCCACCAGCTCCCCCCGCCCCCCCCCCTTAGCCCGGGCCACTTGCGGGAGGGTGGGCGAGAGAAGGGGAGAAAGAGAAGCAGAGAAACCCAAGTCCAGGCGGCGCGCTTCGGCGCTACTTCTGTGCCCCTTTCATTTGTGTTTTCAAGGTTTCCCAGAGGGCTGGTTGCCCTGTCTTGGCCAGTAAGATAGGATTGGATCAGTACACGTCAGGGTTGGATAAAATCTCTCTTGGAGACCTCCTGGGAGTGTTTGGAAACTTTGCGGCTTTGCAGCCCTGGGATCTAGACCGAGTGGGACAGAAGCCCTCTCTGCCTCCCCCACTGCTTACCCCTGGGTTTTGTGAGCACGGAGGAGCCTTTTAAAGCCCTCTGCCTCCATTCCCCTCCCTCCTCAGGGATACCCCAACTGAGAATCTTGTCAGCCTCGGGGCGGTAGGTAGACTCTCACCCGTTTCCCAGCGGCTGTTCAGTGAGTTTCAATCTTCTGTTTGTGAGAGGACAGGGAAGGCACTTAAGCGCCCTCCCTGCACTGCTTTCCACATAAGAGGCCTTCGACACATTGCTAAATAACTCTCAGAGGACAAGAGGGTCCCAGTGTACACACGATTCCCTGTTGAACCCGAACCTTGTATAAACAGGATATATGGCACATGGATGCTTGTGGGAGGGAGGGCTCGGCTCCTGGTACTATTGCATATATAATGTTCTGTAGAGATGAGGAGAGCACTCGCCCCTTGTCAGCTCTTAAACCCCTCTCTCTAGCTGGCTTCAGGGTTTAGGTTGAACTTCTTTAGCAGATTTATCATAAAAGTAATGACTTGGCCAGAAACCTGCCCCAAAAGCTGATTTTGGAAAGTGAACAGATCAATGTGTTGCCCATTAATGGGGATTCTTTTTACTTTTAGTACTATGAGATGTCCTATGGCCTGAACATTGAAATGCACAAGCAGGTAAGTGCTTTTCTTTCTAAAAAATCTATCTGATGGTTAAAAACATATAATACATGGGTTTCTGATAGCCCCTTCTCTTTGAAAATGAGCCTAGACCTTCTGTTCCTCCTTCTCCTTGAAGAGTGAATGGATCCAGTTTCTGAAATGCAGGGTCTGAGGTGTTGCTTATTTCTTGGACATGTTGAGCTTTTAGCAATAGAGCTTGTGGAATTAGTCCTGGTCTTGGATCTTGGTGGACGATAAAGGAGCAAAGGGAAAGCTGTACCTTCAGGATCTGCTTTACAAACTCCTAAAACCCAGAGGGGGCTGGCTGGCTGCTTTTAAATGTTTTAATGTAAAATTCTTGAGAGGAAATGCAGGAGGGGTGTGTGTGTGTGTGTGTGTGTGTGTGTGTGTGTGTGTGTGTGTGTACACGGGCGGTCGCAAAAATTTGATGTTCTGCCTTGATAAGATTAAACTTCAAGAGTCTTAAAAGCCAGGCTGAGCTGTCAAAATTTAAGGGAACAAGCCACTAACTGCTGAAAAATATGAATCCAGGATGAACTACAGCCGTATAATGCCTTACAGTTCCAAGGCCGCTTTCTCCTCTCTATCTTAATTTGAAGGCAGCCGGGTTCCCATTTTACAGAGAAGGAAGCTGAAGCGGAGAGGTGAAGTAACTTGCCCAGGGGCAGCCTCGCCAGGACTTTTGAGATGGCTGGTAGTTGAGCTCAGCTTTGAAATCCTGAAGTCAAACTAGTTTAGCTAGTGTGCTGTTGTTTGATGGATATGTAAACTACCTCGTATTGTCGCTCTTCTAATAACAGTATACCTCAAACGGAGCAAATACAAACAGGTTTTATCTCGGTGCATATCAGTAACTAGTGCTAGGCTGGGCTGTGGGAGAGGCCTGTTTGTGTATTTGTGTTCCAAGGAGAGGCTGCCTGTAATTTGGCTTGGCCAGCGATTAGAAGTGACTTGGCACGAATAAATGGCGCAGACCGGTTGTTCTTTTTAACAATTGGTGTTCTTGAAATCTCAGAAGGCTGTTGACTCATTCTAGCCTTTGGTGACCGTGACTTGAATGGATTTTCTGCCTTAAATGAACAGTCATTTACAAGGTCTAAATTTTGTTCTTTCAGGGGGCAGGGACCCGGGCAGGTGAGAAGGGCAGGTGAGAAGGGCAGGTGACCCAGGCATGCTTGTAGATTGCTGCCTGCTCCAGCGGCTTCCTCTAGAGCCTTCTGGATCTGCAGTTTCCTTTCTTTACTGGAGGAGCCCCAGTGTTAGGTGGAGGGCAGCCCGAAAGGGGCCTGAGTTTATGGAGCAGTGTGGGAAGCCAGTCTGTGGCTTCCTGAGGGGTTATGAGCTCCTTAGGAAGGCTACCAGCTTTTTGCTTCTTGACCCACAGAAATCATAAGCAAACACGGCTGTGTACATAGAGATGTTTCTTTTCAGAAGAATGAACTGGAGACAGGTTCTGCCCAACTTTAGGTGGGACCGGCTGGGTCTGACTCATCCAGTCTGAATGCATGCCATGGACCTGGGGTCTCAGGTGTTCAAGGACTTTGGGGTGTTATGCAAGGTGCCCCCTTCTCCCTTTCTCAACTGCCTCTTTCCCCCCGCCTCCACCCTCGGTGCTTAGTTTCTTGGGTGTGTTTAAAGAGGGTAATTGCACACAGTTTTAAAATTTATAGCAGCAGTTATTCTAAGAGCTTCATAATTAAGGTGTAATATGTCGTTGCATGTTGAGGTCTGCATGGGTGGTGTTCCCACGTCTATGAGTGGATGGTTCTTTGGCACAAAGAATCCACCTTGGCTGGTGGAGCAAACGTGTTCCCGGAGTCCTGGGGAGACACTGAACTCTGGAAGAGTTAACTGTCTTAATGCCTTTGGTGGTGGCGTCTGCCTCAAGAGCAGCTGTGCGCATCTGGGACCTCTGGCTATTCCCCAGATCTCTGGCTATTCCCAGACGGGGCTCTTAAGGGGAGAATGCCTGAGGTTTGGCGACATGGTCTCATTGTAATCCTCCCAGCTGCTAGAGGCAGACAGATGGGATTCTTTGCACCCTTTGTATAGGCCAGAAGACTGAGGCTTCAGGGAAGCCAGTGGGCCAGAGCTGGGAATCCAGTCCAGGCCTCTGGATTCCCCCACTGGGCGCTTTGACCCCGCTTGCCACTCACCTTTGCCTTCCAGCCAGTTCCCCTTGGCTTCCCAGCATGAATGAGTGTGCTCTGAGTGCCAGGGCCCTTGCAGGGTTCAGGGCACTGTCTTGAGTGGGGTGAAATCGCCCGGTGGCTCTGGAGGAACAAAGAGGCAAGGGGGTGAAGAAACCGGGGCTGAGAAATGCAATCCTGACCTAATGGGGCCGGCCACTCCCTAGGCTTGCGAGGGTTCTGCAGAAGAAAACCCAGCCACTAATTGTAGTGTGGGTCTTGGGTGCATTTGGCGGATGGTGGTTAGGCCTGAGCAAACAAGTTTATCAGCTGACCTGTTTAGCGGTTGACTGGTGTTTTATCTGCACACACAATCAAGTGACTGGAGTGCTTGAATTATTCATGCAGTGTCCTGCCCTCTAGACTTGACTGTTCGTGTGATTACATCTGCCTGGAACAAACAGGCTGGATTCTTCATCTTTAAGCTCGGGGGTGGGGGGGGGGACTGGCTGTACCTTTATATATATTAGGTGAGCTCCAGAGCCAGCACCTTGGGAAATGTGGGGGTCCTCAGCCTGCTCACGTGCACCACACACACCCCAGCTTTTCCACCAACCGCCACTACATTTTTTTTTTTTTTTTTTTTTAAAGCTCTCCTTTGCTGTCTCTATGGGAAATGCCTATTAGTTGGGAACCTCAGGTTCTGCCAGGTGGGCCCTGATTATTGACAGAGGGCAGCTGATGAGGTGCGTCCAGCCCATTTTTTCTTTTACCGAGAGGTTAAACTCACTGTGGCTGGCTCCTTTCCTGGCTGTTTCTCTGTCTCCTTCTCGCTCTTTCTCCAAGCTGTCAAATCCCAGAGAAGTAATAAATGGGTTTTCCTCCTACTCCTCTGCCTACCTCCCTAATTATGGCAAAGCAAAGATTACAGAATCACGGGCCAGGCCTCAGCCTTCCAGGGGTCACCCACCTCCTCCAAGCTCCTGCTTCCAGGCAGAATGTCAAGGGTGATTTGGCGAGGCCAGGGAGGCGATGGGGACTGCCCAGCTCATCCTCGTCGGTTCCCATCCTGTTCCTGCTCGGGCTCTCCAGTGTCGGCCACCCGTCACAAAGCCGGCTTAGAAAGGAGCGCCCCAGAGCACCTGTTGGGCGTTGGGTTGGAGGCAGGAGAAGCTGGGTCAGGCCATCTTCACCCTCCCCCGGTCAGCACTGAGGTTTCAAAAGAGGACTTGAGGCATTTGGGACTCTGGGGCAGTGCCATGCCAACGCCAAACGGTCACCCTTTTTCTGCAAACCCAGAGGAGCGATGCTTCCTCCAAGTTTCTTTTGGCATCCCGGAACTGGGAGAGCCCTTTGGCTTCTCATCCAAACCTTCCATGTTACAGATGAAGAAACTGAGGCCCAGGAGGGGAGCTGAGCTAACCCAGTCACCCAGTCCCACGTTAGTGCTAGGGCTGCTCCTGGGGCCTTTCGTCCTGTCCCCAGGTCTCTGTTTAGCAAGACTCAAGAAGTGAAGCATATTTGTTTACTAACCAGTCGCACTCTGTGGCTTTAAGTATTATTGCTTCTTTCTGTTTATTATCTCCAGAAGCTAAGGCTACAAACCTGGTTATACCAAAGTACAAAGTACCCCATTTCGGGTTGTATAACCATATCAGCTGAACACTTTGTTGCCCACAGTCCTCTTCCGAATTGCCAGCTATTTGCACAACCAATGATTTGATGTGCGTAATAATAAACCGAATGCATAACTAGCAACCCCAGAGGTAAGGTTCACTGGCGAGGTAAAGTGGTAAAACCTGTGAACTTTTTACCCGAGGATACAGAAAGCCGTGAACACAGGGCTGAAGAAGGAGATGGCAAATCTCTGTCCCCTCCCCTCTCATCCCCTGAATAATTAGGGGCTTTGCTGGAAGATCTCCGGCAGGTGGCAAGGTTACAAAGACCCGGCCCAGGAGTGCCTGTTTGTATGGCATCTGGGTTGCGCTAAGAGGAGATCCGGAGTAGTGTTTTTTCCTGGCATCCAAGCACCCCTCGTAGGCCCTGGTTTCCACCTAACCTTTCCCGGCTGGTCACTCTTGCCTAGGACAGTCTTTCTCCAGTCACACAGTTCTTCTCACTGCCCTGGGGGCCTGCCATGGTCAGCTTTGGGGTCTGCCGAGCTCAAAGTCCCCTTCCCCCCGCCCCAGACTGCCTTCCACCCCAGCCTTCTCTGGACCCTTATTCTTCACTGCCTAATGAGCTTTACAGAGTAGGGTTGGTGTGGTTCTCTGGCTCTTTCCCTTCTCATACGTTTGATCATTGGGATGACCTAGGAGATGGGCACAGAAATGGCTCCTGTCCTTACTCAAGGACACGGAGCCTGGGTGGGAAACCTGGCTTCTTAATAAAATTCCTTCCATGAACCTCTCCTGGACCAGGGGCCCCCAGAGGGCACAGAGCTGAATCTCCCTTCGGATTCTTCCTCCTCCACTTGGTATAGGAAGGGTCTGGTCTATGTCAGAGGCCCTTCATTTCCATTTTGTCCTAGGAGTGAGTTGGTCAAGGAATGAGCTCCCTTTTCCCTCCTGCATGGGAAAGTGTTTTTTTATCCAGGTCTGTTTGCACAAAATACCGGGACATGTGGGGCGAAAAGGTAGTCAAGGCCAAATCTCAGTGGGGTTTCCCGTTGTGATCTGGCACACGCCTGCTGTCCTTTCTCACACTTCAGCGTCTCGTCTTTGTGTGGATGGAGGAAGCCCCTCGGCTGGGGTCTGTTATGTGCCCTTAGCACGAAATAGGTGCTCAGTAAACACGCCGGTTTTCCTTTACTCTGAATTACTCGGGTTGTCAGAGGGTGGGATTCCGATTCCCTGAGCTCTGGCGGTAGGAAGTGAGGGTTTTAATTGTGGGTTGGCCACCAGCTCTGCAGGCTTCCTCCTACTGTTCAGCATCCAGTTTCTTCATCAGGAAAATGAGGGGGTTGGATTCCTGCCAGAACGGTTATTAGGGGCCTGGGATGTGCTGGGTGTGGGCTGGGGCCGGTTACACAGCCGAATAAGACACCATTCCCTCGGCTGGGGAGTTGGCATCTAAATAAGTCATGGCAGCGCAGTGAGGTAAGCGCTAATATGGCCCAGTGTCACTGGAGGAACACCCGGGACAGAACAGCCTATTCTTCCCCGGAAAGGGGAGGGAAAGGGGAGTCGGGTCAGAGAAGACTACACCGAAGGGCTGTTACCTGAGCCTTAAAGGGAGGGCAGGGGCTGCTGAGGCAGAAGCCCGCAGAGAGGAGGAGATCGATCTCTCTCTCTCTCTCTCTCTCTCTCTCTCTCTCTCTCTCTCTCTCTCGGTGGCAGCCGCTCTTGGAAAGGCCAGCGGAAGCACAGTCCACAAGTTGGAATGCCTGGGGTGGGGGGGTGGGGGCTCCACTTGGGGAGTGAGGCGAGGTGGTGACATTTTGCAGCAAGTGATCTCCAAAGCCTCTCTGCTCTCACACTCCCGACTCTGCGGCTCCCTCTGTCCCCATATGGCTCTGCAGGGCTGGCCAGAGGCCATCTGCCCTGGGCCGTGCTTGGTGGGGGGGGGAAGCGGGGGAAGGCCCCGGGGGCTGGCCGAGGCCTCCTGCGCCTGCACACCCCAGCGTGCCGCCTTGAGCTTTCTTCCCCCAAGTGGCATTGCCTCCTTTCCCGTGTGGGTAATTCTGTAATGACTGGGTCTGACCCGCCCCTCCCCCATATTTAATTCTCATCAGCCAGCTCTCTCCACTTTGCTATTAATGATAGCAGCCAGCAAAATAGCTTTCAACATGCCATTGACAGTCTGGTTTAAGAGAGCACTTGAAGTAGTGCTAGACAGCTGAAAGCTCCTATAATTGTGTACCAGAGTGAGAACTGCGTGCTCGAGGGCCTTGTTTTTATATGCTTAAAGGGACAATATCTTGTTTTCAACAAATGCTCCCTGAGACTCATGGCCAAGATGCTGGCTCCTCTCGCACGTCTCTCCTCTCCCCTGGCTTTTTCTTGCCTCTCTCTTGCCTTTCACATGTTCCGCCCTCAGGTCGGGGCTGAGGAGAGACTTGGGGAAGGGGGGCATTCCCTGCCTGCACCTAAGTAAGGACTGTCGGGTGGGCTGGTTTGCTGTGAGGCCTTGGCCACTGCTCACACCCCCGGCCCCGGCCCAGTGTTCTGGGGGAGGGACTGGGGGTGCTGTTCTCCCCTGTGTATTGATTTTGAGTTCTTTTGTTGGCTGAGGATGTCACAGCCTCGTGGGGGGGCAGGCTTCCAGGGAGCCCTCTGAATGTTTCCGGGAAGGCCACCTCTGGGGGAGGTGCGGGGGAAGGCTGTACTTACTGGAGAGGCCATCAGGGACCTCGGAGCCCTTGGCCCCTTTCAAATCAGATTCTGGGAGGCCGTTCATTGTACAGAAGCTCCTCTAGAAAGCACGAGGGTCCGTAGGGCAGGGACTTACTCTTAAGTGGAGGTTCATGCAGGGCTTAGAGGCTTAACCAGGGGTCCCATCTACTCAGCCCTGGAGATTTAGCCTGAGAACAAAACCGCCCTCCCCTTCACCCCAGCCGACTTCATTACTCTGAAGATGCAACACAGCCCTTTCGGCAGAGGTTTCCCTCACCCCGCTGTCACCAAAGCTCCCCTTCACCAATGGCATCCTTTGAAGGGTGAAGAAAGAACCAGAAAGCGGGGGTGGGGCCTGGAGTCTGGCTGTGGCAGAGGCTAGGAGTGTGGATGGGCTTGGCGTGTGTGTCCAAAGGGGCCTCCTCCTTCCACCCACCGTGTATGTGAGTGACACCGACAGGGGCCTGGGGTCCTGGGGTCCTGGGGTAGTTGTCACCACCACCACCAAATCATTCCAGCAGAAGGCCTTTATTGGGTGCAAAGAGTTTGAAAGTTTTCATCTTCCAAATATTGTAATAATATCAACCTTTGGTGTTTCTGTAGCACTTGATTGTTTGCACAGCACAGTAGGCCCTTTCATCTTAAGAACCCCCAATGACAGGCATTTGGGTGCAGGACAAACACAGCCTAGGAGGAAAGCATCAGAGCGTGGGGTGTGGAGATGACTTGGATATATTCGGGGCACTAGAGGGCTGTGTTCTTAAACTGGACGGGGCGGCAGGGGCTGGGGGTGTGTGTGGAATGCCGACTCTGTGAGTTCCCTGAGGGACAGGGCCATTTTGTATTCACTGGGGCCCCTGAGCCCTGCGTGGTGCTGGGCCCATATTGGGTGCACAGTGTACGTTTTTGGGGGGGCTCATGGAGGGTAATGTCCTAGTTTGGGAGTTCTCCCTGACCCTGTAGAGCATTATGGACTTTCTGGGAAGGATACAGGTTTTCTCCTGCTTCCGAGAGAGATCTGTTGGCCGCAGAGTTGTGATTGGGGGGAGAAAGGTAAAAGTGTCATGAGCTTTTATGTTGAAGCGTCTTTAATATAATTGGAGGTTTTTGTTTTGTTTTTGTGTCTCGTCTTGGTCTGCGGACAGTTGAGATGTACAAAGGGAAGATAGGAGGTGGTGAGGAAAGAGATAGTGGGGAGGAAGATGATAAAGCAGAGATGGGGCAGGAAGGAATGAGGAAGAGAAAACACGCTGAACTGGGATTCCGAGAAGAAACCAAGTAGCAGGAAGGCAAGAGTCAGTGGCTTGGAGGTAAATTGGTAAACCGTGCTTGGCATGCCTTGGCCGTCTCTTTGGGTGTGGAGTTCCATGTGCTATGGCCTTACCCTACTGCCCATTTAAATCCCTGGTGACCACTGTTCACACTACACTCTTCAACTGGTTTTTGTTGTCATTTTTTAAAAACGGAATGAAACCTAGTCTAGCCCAATGGTAGAAGTTCCTTTTTTGTTTGCCCCCAAAAGCGACATCTTCCCTCACAAGGAGACTCAAATGAGCAAGGGTCCTTCCCACAGTCCTGCAGCACTAGGGAGACCAGGAGCACCTTGGGGACAGGGGAGGGGACTCTTCCTGGTTGGGTGTGAAGGCTTTGGTTCTGGACTCCTACACCACCCAGCCAGTCTGCGACCAGAAGGTTGGAGGAGGAGGAGGCCTTCTACCCAGTCCCCAAATACTTGCCCTCAACAGGTCCGTCCTGATCCCTGAGTGTGAAGCTGATTGTCCTATCAAGGGGATGCTTTGTGAACCAGT